TTTTGCTGAACAGAAACGGGTGTATTTCCGGTTGCGTAGTGCAGAGACGGGCTGTTTGATGTCTCTGTCTGGACCTTTGGATGATTTTAAGCTGCTCCGGGTTCAAGTGCTTGAGGAATCTGGTGGTCCAGAGCAAATGTGGGTCTATGAGAACGGATTACTGCGCTGCAAGGTACTCAAGATACATTTTCATATCCATCCACTGCTGCACTTAAACTCAAGAGCACTTGATTAGATGATTCTGAATAGACAACAAAATAACTAGAAGTTATGACAACATTTTGTTTACTGCTATATATTCTGCAATTGTTTACCAAAATATATTCTTTTAATTTTATGTAATGTAAAACATTTTGTAATGCAGTTTTTAGTTTTTAATGAAGACTTAACATTTCATTACTGGATGAATCTACGGTGGCTAAGAGAGCTTAACGTGCTGCAATTTAAGAAAACAAGAGCAATTACAAAAAAACGCCAGCAAATTAATAAAAAAAAGATCTTCATCAGTTTGACAGCACACATGCTGCAAATCCTTACAAAGCAAACACATAAAAAAACAGTATTTTCTCACAACACAACAGAAATGTTTCAATGAGACCCTAAAACATGACGAACCCAGCTATTTAGGTTATGGTTATTTAGGCTAATAAATACTAAAGAAACGGGAATCAGGATCTTTAAATAAACAAACAAAAAACTCACCTTTTAAAGATTGCCTAAAAACTTCACTGAGCAATTGTCAGGGCGCAGCACTGTTCATCAGGAATTTGGGTCCCCTTTGAAACATTTCTGTTGTGTTCCGTTCTTTTTGTGTTGTGAGAAAATGTAGGAAGTCTTTGTTAATTGTTTGTGTTGTAAGAAAATGTAGCACGTTTTATTTGTTTGAGGGAAAATGCAGGTCATTTTTTAAAATGTGTATGCATTGTGAGGATTTGCAGCATGTGTGCTGTCAAACAGATGAAGATCTTTACTTAATTTGCTTGTGTTTTTTGTAATTAAATGTGTTTTTTTAAATAGCAGCATGTCTCTCTGCCACTGTATGAATCTGTATTTTTGAAAAATCTATTGAATGACTTGTTCAGTGACAAATACATTTAAATACTTGCTTGTCATCTGTTGGCGTATCAGTGTACTTGCTACAACCTTCATTTGAAGCATTAAGTTGCTTTCAAACAGTCATTTTGATTATTAGTTTTGCAGAAACTGTTTTGTTATTGCTTCCTTGACAATATACATGTTAGTACAGATGTGGTAAAACTGATTAAAAAGACAGAACACTGATGTTGTTTCTTAACCATACATTGTGATCGTAACCTTTAATTGATTAATAAATTGTGCAGCTCTACCCTTGATGTCATTTAAATCTGTTGACTAATGTCTCTTTGTCTACAGATGGTAGAGGACTGTTGTGTGGAGACGTCTGGAGGTGTGGTGATGGCAGGTGGCAGGTTAAACATCTCGCCTGAACCAGGCAAAGACAATCAGTTCTGGAGCATCACAGGAGACGGAATCATTCGCAACAATCTCAAGCCAGACCTCGTGCTGGAAGTCAAAGGTCAGTACTTGCGTACGCTTGAATAGAAGCAAAGGCGTATGAAAATAAATGAAACAGAAAGGTTGGACTGGAACAGTAAATAGATGCATTCACATGCACATGGGGTGTGTGTGTGTGTGTGTGTGTCAGTCAAAACTGCACCCTCCGCTGACGAGCTTAAAATCACTGAATGATGACACATTCTGATGTCATTTCATACCTGTGTGTCATTTCTATTAGCAGCTAAACTGACACTCTGAAATGCATATCGCAACATCCTGTCAGAGGCAAGCACATGTCTGAATCTGTGCTTCAGATGACGGTGTTTGCTAGATCTAAATGCTAATAATTTGCTGAAAATACTCATAATTAAATATTAATGGAATTTCAAATATTAATTATTAATGAATAAAATGTTCTGTTTTTTGGTCAATATGAGTATGGTCAAGTATGAAGTTGCTAAATATTTCCTTGTCTAGAAATTATGTCTGTCTTACTAAAACTTAAACTTATCAAATTACATTAAAACTAATGTAATTAAATTTAGTTTAATTTTTGGCCGAATATAAATGTAACGGAAAAATAAATCATATATGGTACAAAATATAATTGTCTTAGAAAGTATTTCTTGTTGGCTTACTTTAACTTAAAATATAATATAATATAATATAATACAATAATATAATATAATGTAATATAATTTAATTTATTATAATATAATATAATTTATTATAATATAATATAATATAATATAATATAAACACTGATTAAAAACTATATAGGCAGGCATAATAAAGAATAATAAGTACAACTGCACATCAGAAAAGGACTAAAACATTAAATTAGCTTTATATTGGCTAAAAGAATTGCTTTATTATTAAAACAATAGTTTTTCAAACTGCAATATCACTGCTTTGTGTTAGTGCAACCTTACATTTTGAATTCATAATCCAGCCTTTGACCACAGAAATGTTTGAAACCCTGTTATTAAGCTGACAGGACACAATTTTAAAAATGAAAAGACTTTTAAAATATAAAGAGATAAGCAACATCAAACAACAACTAAGATAAGAGTAAATTGTTTATTTGGACTGAGACAAGGATCACTGTGATGAAAGATATCAGCTGTAAGGCTGCTTTTGTTTGCTGTGGATTCAGAAAGAGGCTGTTTGTGGTTCAGATTTCAGTGTAACTCGAGCGCCACCCGGACATCATTCTGTTCAACACAAACTCTGCTTTCTATCCCCACCTAGTGGACACTTAATACATCACACCTCATTCAGTCCTGCACTTTCTCTAAAACTTTCTGAAATTAAACTATTATTTTAAAATCACATGTTAAGCAAAATCTATATTTATAAAAATAACCACATAAAATAGTTCACATAATAATAACACATATTTTTAAAAAATGAATATACAGTAAATAGTAGTATTGTAAAGAATGATTTAACTGATTTATTTTAGTTAAATTTTTCCTGTAATGGCAAAGCTGAAATTCGATCAGCTATTTTGCTTTCCAAGGTTCATGTGATCATGTGACATATACTGAGGCCATTGATGTTGTTTACATCCCTCAAAATTGTCTATATCAATAATTTTGTAACTGCTATCCAAGGAACTCTTTTGGGTTGTAAACTGCGGTGCTGCCTAATATCTGTGGAGATTATTAGACTGTTATAATGAAGGGTGTGTTAAAAAGAACAGCACACTTGAAATAAAAACATTCATTAATATTCAAAATGTAGTCACAGTCTCTTTTGAGCAATTTAACCGTACTTGCTGAATTATAAGTGTTTCTCAACCACGTTCCTAGAGGACCACCAGGTCTACACCTTTTCCATGTCTTAACCAAACACACCTGATTCAGATCATCAGCTTATTAGCAGAGACTGAAACACCTGTAATGATTGTGACGGACAAAGGAGAAATGCAGTGTTGGTGGTCCTCAAGGAACGTGGTTGAGAAACACGGATTTGAATAACACCAAATAATTGAACAGCAGTGTATTTTAAACTTAAGGATATGCATGAAAAACTTCCGGTTAAAATCTTGACCTTGTTGATCTATTCTTCATCCAGGTGGCCAACAGTATGATAAAAACCAGGTGATTCTCAACACCTTTGATGAGCGCAAAACCAACCAGAGATGGACTGTGGAAATCCTGTAGCGCTCGAGTCACAACTCCGGACAACAGAAAAACTCTCTAAAATATCTGAGGCCGTTCAAGATGACATGAATCTTAACCCCTAAAACAACTAGCACTGCTGGGACTATAATCCTGAGATAACAATGTCAAAATCTCTAGGAAATCTTCTAGATTATGGTTCTCTAAATGAGCGATGTGTCTTTGGGCTTAAGTGACCAAACAGAAGGGTCCATAAGTCCGAAACCTGCGCTAGTTTTACTGTATTTTATGCTAGTACTTTGTTGTTGTTTGCATTGACATGGGAACACAAACAAAAAAACGGTCCTGCTTGCAATGCAATTACAGTACAAAAGGGGGCGCACTAGCCTCAAGATTAGCATTTAGCTGCACTTTAGGTGACCTTGTATATTTGTTTTTTTCTGCGTCAAGGAGAGTCAAGGTTTGGCGAGTTAGCGTGACCAAGTTTACCCCATGCCTGTCTACATTTTATGGACAACAAAGTGCCTTCCTTTATTCACAAGTCGCTGTGTTTTCTGACTAAATTATTTTTGCAAGAGATATACAGTAGGAGTCACAGATTTTCCATTATATTACTGCCTTATTTTAAGGGCTCTTAAATGCTTGAAATAGACTATTTTTTCTTGTCTTCTGCCGTTCACGTCACGTCTCAGAGTGGTCGCTAATAAAGGGCTTATGCGTGTTTCTGTGAGGTCATTGGCTAATCAGAAGTCATTAATCATAAGTGTGACTCATTTGATCAGTTGAAAACATCCTGGCTGCAGAACCAAGCTCTCATTAGCACAAAAGGCATATTTTAAATGATATTAAATATCATTTATGCATCGTTTTCTCCAAGTATTATAAGCAAACATATTTGAATGTAAGGCGGTATTTATGTGCCATTCAAACTCACTGAAAGATAATGTGGGAACTTGAGTTATCTCACTCTACAGTTGCTGTACAAAGTGTTTATTAATGTCAGAATAGTCATTATTAATTATTAATGTCAGAAAAAGACCCATTGCACACATTATAATAAGCATTTCCATCTATTCATGCTGACCTGGCATCAGTATCGGTTCTAAATCCGCTGCTCTGCTCTGAGTTTTTCATCTGTTTTTATATATATATCAAGATATTTTTGGTTGTTGATTTTATGTGTACATTTGTCATGTTCTTTTTATATGTTCCTTTCTGAAATATACTGTTACTTTTAGGATATTTAGTTTAAATATCTGTTCTGTTTCTAAATATGTGTGAAATAACTAATCGGGTTTGTGTTTTTCTTGCTAGTTCAGAAATGCAAAATAAACACACTTGCCATTACAGAAATGCATTTAATTCAACAGACTGGAAAAAAAAATCGCATATCCCATTGTCCATGTTTAACAGTATTCTCTTGACTGCAATAGTTACTCTTTCTGGTCCTCCATGATAGAGACGACAGTTTTTCCTCGAGCATGACCCTGCTCTACTTTCTGAAAGGCTTCTGGCACCTGAGCAAATGAAAACACTTCCTCCACTACTGGACGGACCTACAACAATATAAAAAAACAATTCAAAAAAACATAATTGCGACTCATTGGTATCATGTTAAACAAATCCAGATCAAAAGAACAAAAGCTTGAGTGTAAACTGCGGTGAAGTGGTTAAAACTCAGATCCGGTAAACAAATTTCTGCTGGTTTAACCCACAGCAGCCAATGTATATGAGCCGTCGCTATCCTGCGGTGACTGTAAACACACATGATCTGCTCAACTATTGGTTATCAGAAGTCAAAACATACATTAGAGTTCAAACACAGGTACTGTCATTGTACCAAATCAGAGCGAACTTTGTATTAACTATAATGAAATATTTAACAGTTTATCATTGTGCAATGAAGTAGAATTCCTCCTCCACAAAACAATCTTGCTCAATCTTGAAGGTGACAGCGGAAACACAAACAAGTCTGGTTATCAGACAAACGGCATACAGACGATACAACACAATGCTTTAAAGGAAACAAGATCAGCTCCCCTTCCTGTATTTAGCTCAACGTGTGAACATGTGTTTTATTTGACTTGCATGCTTTCATACTCTTGCTTCTAGCTTTAAGAATAGTTGGTTTGCTTAGCAACAGGGAATACAAACACTTAACATTAGAGTATTGAGGATGCATATAAAGGGATTAACATTCCAAATTTAAAATATTAAATTAATATTCGGTCATCGCTTATTTTTTACCCAGTTTTTTTTTTTTTTTTTGTAGAATGCTGAATATCTGTAGCCATTGATTTTTGTTTTTTTTTTTAATTGAAAGGATGCCAGTGGTTACAGGTTACCAACATTCTTCAAAATATCTTCTTTTGTGTTCAACACAAGAAAGAAGCTCATAAATGGGTGAAAGTGAGTGTATTGTCACATAATATGCAATATTTTAAAATTATACTCATGGTCACGAGTAATTTTAAGATACAATTCTAACACTAACTAAAACTCTTAGCTCAATTAAGCGTAACTAATTAAAAGAAAGACAGTGGTTGTGTTTACGTATTTGGGTATAATATGATCATATACTTATTATTATATTAAGTACTAATAAACTATACAATTATCACAATGCTGGAGAGAGATTGTGGAGAAGTGGGGGATTCTGGTCATGGATTATGATGGCTTCCCCCTGATCAGTTCAGTAAGTCATAATTACAGTGAACTGGATGAAGACCCGCCGACCTACTTTGGCAGAATAGACACAGAGGCTGAAGCAGATTTACAGTTGAAGTCAGAATTATTAAAGCCCTGAATTATTAGACACCAGTTTATTTTTTCCCCAATTTCTGTTTAATTGAGAAGATTTGTTTCACCACATTTTTTAATCATAGTAGTTTTAATAACTAATTTCTAATAACTGATTTATTTTATCTTTGCTATGATGACAGAAAATAATATTTGACTAGATATTTTTCAAGACACTTCTATACAGCTTAAAGTGACATTTAAAGGCTTTACTAGGTTAATTAGGTTAACTAGGCAGATTAGAGTAATTAGGCAAGTTATTGTATAACAATGGTTTGTTCTGTAGACTATTAAAAAATATATATAGCTTAAAAGGGCTAATAATTTTGACCTTAAAATGTTTTTTTATAATTATTAAAAATAGCTTTTATTCTAGTCAAAATAAAACAAATAAGACTTTCTCCAGAAGAAAAAAATATTATCAGACATACTGTGAAAATTTCCTCGCTCTGTTAACATAATTTGGGAACTTTTAAAAAAGAAAAAAAAATTCAAAAGCTAATAATTCTGACTTCAACTGTACATACTTAAAATAACTGCAGATTTGCAGTTGAAATCAGATATTTTCCATCAGACCTGGGCATTAATCGAAACATACTTACTTGATCTTTGAAATGCTATCCACGACTTTGTTGTAGTTGTTGCCTTTATGTTGAAGTTTATTTATTTATTTATCTACCCCCCCTCTCTTTTATAAGCTGACATTATTATCTATTTATTATAATTTCTATCTATTGTAATTTTCTATATATTTGTTTATTTTTTGTGAATGTAAACATTCCAAGTAAATTTTATTTCTATACTATGATTATATATATTTTTTTATAAAAAGTACTAATAAACAGCCAATATCTTATTAATAAGCCGGTCATAAGCCATGAGCTATTGGTGTGAATTGGTACTTAAACTAAAGTGTTCTTATGATCACATTTTTTGCCAACTTTCAATTCATCTTATATATTCATAATGATAGAGCACTAGGCAACCCTCTCTCTGTGTGTGTGTGTGTGTGTGTAGGGGTCTGGTACATCTGAACTCTATTTATGAGAAATCCTTCATTGTGTTTTTTTTTTTTTCCGGCTTTAGAAAAAGAGAAGTTGTAATAGCACAAGCTCATAATGACTGTCTGTCTCATTTCTGTTTTTTTTTTATATATATATAAGAGCAACACCTAAATGTGCAAAAATGTGATCACAGATCTACTGTAGATCTACAACATTCTGTTTTCACAACCAATATTTTTTTCTTGTGGCTAAATGTCCAGTTCTGCATTTAAATGTGTTATTTATCTGTATAGCTCATTTGTGGTTACTGTTAGGTCGCACTCACACTATGTGCAGTAAGTAACCACAAATTAGCTATACAGATAATCAACACATTTAGGGTGTACTCACACTATGTACAGTTGCCTTGAACCAGGACAAAGCACACTTGTCCCCCCTTCCTTCTCCCCTGACGGCCCACACGGCACGCACATTACTTTCGGGTCTGGGCACGCTTACAACATTGATGATGCGCTGTTCAGTAAGCGCTCTCGCTCAGCACAGTGGAGATATTGGTGGTTTGGGATGCAGTGACACACAGTCACTGTTAAAGACTGCCAAACAGTCTGCCAAACAGATCAGCCACTTTTGATGCTCACAAACAACCATAAAGTCCTTGTGCTGCAGGAGTTAGGAAGTTTGCTAAAGGTGCAGCTGTCGTGCAGTGAGGGGTCTGGGTTTTTAATAATCTGTGAGAGCACGTGTTCATTGAACAGTAAGAATGATTAGTAAATCCATATAAAACAGTCTCTTAAATGTTACGTCTCCTCTTTAGTTTTGGTCTCAGGCATACTTTGACTCACACTACAAGGGTACCGCGCCTGAGCCTAAGTGAACCGAACTCTGGCACACTTCTTCCAACCGCAGCAGAAAAACAGAAAGCAGAATCTTTTGAAAAGGAGACCAACAGAGGTGGTCATTAAATCCCAACCTGTTAACTGTTTATTTATTTATTAATTTTCTTTTACTCGTTTCAAACTCAGCTCTAGACATTTGAGGTCGTAACAGTGTGTGTTTGAATAAGACAAGTGTAACAGTGTTCTGTTAGTTTTATTGTATTAATATAGTATAATTTCTTGGTGAATTGTTTATTTTTATTTAGAATTTTAGTCGATTGATGTAAATTTGGCAAATGTTGCCAATTTTCTTCATTATCTGACAATAACTGTCTGTGCTTGAGTGGTCAATGTGAACCTTGTTCATTGGAAGCCAGTAAAAAGACTCATTTTGAGCACATTTTTTACAAAAAGACTTGGACAGGAAGTAAAGCAGGAATTAATGATTCATTTCAGGCAGTTCAGAATTTGTTCTTTCATATGAGAGACAAGAAATCTGACCTTTTACACTACCTGACAAAAGTCTTGTCGTCTATCCAAGTTTTAGGAACAACAAATATTAACTTGACTTGTAGTTGATCATTTGGTATCAGACGTGGCAAAATATGACAGGCAAAGGCCTCTAGATAAAGCTTATTTAACCAAAATAAAATATGATTATGCCTTGATTTTTAATTATTTATTTAGGACAGTAAGGTCTGACTTTGCTTAGATAAGTCTTGTCATATAACAGAAATAATGTACAGTATAGAATATAAAGTCATGCTGCAGTGGAAAAAGAATTAATATTGTGTATGACTCCCGTGAGAGGAGGATTGCATCAATACAGTACATCTCTGCAATGACAAAATCTAAAATAACTTATTAATAAAGTCATCTGGAATGGTAAAGAAAGCGTTCTTGACTCCAGAGTTCATCAAGATTCTTTGGATTCATGTTCAATGCCTCCTCCATCTTACCCCAGACATGCTCAATAATATTCGTATCTGGTGACTGGGCTGGCCAATCCTGGAGAAATTTGACCTTCTTTGCTTTCAGGAACATTGCTGTGGAGGCTAAAGTATGAGAAGGAGCGCTATCCTGCTGAAGAATTTGCCTTCTCCTGTAGTTTGTAATGTAATTGGCAGAACAAATGTCTTGATACCTCAGGCTGTTGATGTTGCCACCCACTCAGATCTCTCATATGCCCCCGTACTGAATATTACCTCAAACCATGATTTTTCCTTCACCAAACTTGACTGATTTCTCTGAGAATCTTGGGTCCATGCAGGTTCCAATAGGTCTTCTGCATTATTTGTGATGAGTGGGATGCAGATCAACAGATGATTCATCTGAATAATCTACACTTTTCCAAATGATCAGCTAGAAGTCAAATTATTATTTGTTGCTCTTACAACTGGGATCGACAACAAGACTTTTTTGTCAGGTAGTGTACGTTCAGAAGCAACTATATTATGCATATCTAAAATATCAGAAAAAAGGACAGCACTTAAAAAAGTGTGTTTTAGAACATGTGCAGTGTGAATTCTGTGTCAAGTCTGATGTACCTTTCCAGCGTCAACCATTTCGCTAACCTCGTCCAGCGCAGAGCCGCTTGGAGCAAAGAAACCCCAGCGATAATGCACTCCTTTCCTGAGGTTCTGAGAATGAGACAGAGAGAAAAAGAGTTAATATGAAACTATTCAACATCTCCAACGTGACCCAAATAGTGAAATTGACAGGTTATCAGGTTTGGATTTGTAACCTTTCTCTACTTTAATTTTCTCTATTCCTCCTCCTTTATCAGTATATAATCATTAATTGAGTCATTTCTTCTGTCCTGCCACCACAACACAGGGTGAAGTGAAGCATAAGAAGGTCATGAAAGTGAAAGGAAACTGTTGATTAATGAAACGTTCAGCTGTATACTGAAGCAGCAGCAACTTAAGACTACTGCTCAAAACTGTGTCAGGTAAGTACCATGACAGATACTCTGAAAGTATGTCGAAATGGTTTTAAAATCTAATTCAAACTGAAAATGTCATCATTTACTCATCCTTAACTTCCAAATAAGCTTGAGCTTTTTTTTTGTTCTCAAAAGAAGATATTTTGAAGAATATTGTAAACCAGTAACCATTGACTTCCATAGTATTTGTTTTTCTGTCTTGTCATTCCAACATTCTTCAAAATATCTTCTTTTGTGTTCAACAGAAGAAAAAACTGTTGAGAATTAGAACAAGTTGAGGGTGAGTAAATGATGACTGCCCCTTTATTGACTTTAAATATATAGAAATATATTTGATTTGGAACTTTTTCTGGATAAGTTTATGACAATGGTCATATGACTGTTTGCATAGGCAGTCGTATTTGCTTCTATTTAGGCACAGGAAGCTCTTTGGATGATCTTAAATTATCTAGGGCAACTCAATCACCAGGGGCCTCATGTATAAACGCAGCGTATGCAGAAAAACTTTGCGTACGCCAGATTTCACGCTCGAGTTTAGATTTACTTACAATGAAATTAACGTGAGAATGTGCGTTGGTCTGTGCCAACTTCATGTCTGGCGTACGTGTATTTCTTGTGTGTGTTAGTTTTATTTCCACTGGCGACTCCTAGAGGCAATTGTGTTAAATTGCAAACTAGAAAGTATCACACCAACACATGTGAAAACATTGCTATTCATTTATAATTGATAAAATGCGTAAATTGACACATTGATTTAAACCAATGATGTAATTTAGAACATATAAAAGCATTTGCAAATGTATACAACCCTTAGTCTAGGACAATGGCAGTGTTGGTCTTATTAGAGGACATTGTCAATGGTCAAATCCGAAGGGAATGCGTTTTTAGGGATTACATTAATTTTCTGGCCCGCGATGATAACTGCTTATTAGCCGTTTCAGATTTCCAAGAGCTATCCTCTTGGAGCTCTGTGCTGAGTTGGGTCCAAATTTGGAAAGAGAGACAGCGAGGTGGCTCCAAGGATGCGCAATGGGTGGCTTCTTGGTGAGTGAAGTATTTAAAGATATTATTCCAGCTAAGTTTTTTATTTTTTTACTTTATTGAGCATATTTATTTAATTGCATATCAGGAGACAGCAGTAATCTGTTAAAGATGTGGCTGTTAACCCCCCTCAACAACCCACAAACTGACCAAGAGCCCATACTCGCACTCGGTAAGTTGTAGAGCGGGCGATTGGGCAGCAGAAATGCCAGTGGTGCTACATTGATAAGAGCGGAGGGGTGCTGCTATACCGCCCTAACAAAGTGTTCCTCTGATACATTTGTGTCTTCCACAGACACGGATACTACTCCAGACAGTAAAGTGTCGCCCACAATTGAGGCAACTCTCTCCTCAAAGGGTGTTAGTTCAGCATCCCCTGTTCGGTCCACACTTTGATAGTGCGCTGCTGTTCTCCTCTTTACCTGCACCTTTACATCGGACCACTTCTTTTTTTAATTCACTCACAGTGCGATCTTCAGACCCCACTTCGTCAGCTAAACTCTTCCACTCTATTTTTTATCTTTTGTTATTAATTCTGGAGGCCAAACTTGCAAATAACACAGTTTTTCTCCAGTCTACCTCCGATAGGAGTACCTCCAATTCACATTCTGTGAAGTTTCTCTTCTTGCTTGCTTTTGCCATTGCTTTTTCATTTGATTTTGCCAAAGCAGAGTCATTACCATACTTATACAGGGGAGGAGGCAGGGAGGGGTTTTGCGCTCGTTCATGTTACGCTCAATTTCACGCTAATTCAGATATACAAAGAGAATATGCATGGGATTCTGCGTACGCAGTGTTTCATACATCTGAATTTTTTACTGCGTATGCACATTTACAGCTATGTCTGTACGCAATGTTTTAGTATGAATTTAATGCAAGTCTTTGTACATGAGGCCCCAGGTCTGACACCAAACTGTGCAGTTCCTGCAGTTACAGTTATTAATGTAAAAGAGCTAACTATAAAATAGAAGTATAAAAATAAGTATGAACAAATAGAATGACATGCATATGTATTTAAGCATGTTTAATACATGTACAAAACCTAAATGTTTGTTTATGGGTATGTGTACTATGTGTGTTCTTTTGATGCAAGTATTAGGAGGATAAGGGTGTGTGTTTCCTACTGAAACAGGAAATAGAAGTGCTATGATGACACCATGACAATGCAAAACATGGCACTAAAGATGCATTAACTTTGATTGTAATAGAGTAAATTTGATAGTAAAACAGTAATATACAGTTGAAGTCAGAATAAGTAAACCCCCTTTGAAATGTTTTTCTTTTTCAAATATTTCCCAAATTATGTTTAATAGAGCAAGGAAATGTTCACAGTATGTCTAATAATAATTTTTCTCCTGGAGAAAGTCTTATTTGTTTTGTTTTGTTTTTTCGACTAGAAAAGTTTTTTTTTAATCCATTTTAGAGTCAAAATGATTAATTTAAGCTATATTTTTTTCAATAGTCTACAGAACAAACCATTGTTATACAATAACTTGCCCAATTACTCTAACCTGCCTAGTTAACCTAATTAACCTAGTTAAGTCTTTAAATGTCACTTTAAGCTGTATAGAAGTGTCTTGAAAAAATATCTAGTCAAATATAATTTACTATCATTATGACAAAGATCAAACAAATCAGTTATTAGAAATGAGTTATTAAAACTATTATGCTTAGAAATGTATTGAAAAAAATCTTCTCAATGTTAAACAGAAATTGGGGAAAAAAACAAACGGGGTTAACAATTCAGGGGGTTTAATAATTCTGACTTCAACTGTATATATTTCAAAATAATGCTGTACCATTGAACTTTCCATAATAATAACCCCAACAGACATTTCACAAATATGTTTCTTGAGCATTAAATAAACATACTGTAATGAAATCTGAAGAATTGTGCGACAATGAAGGCTGGAGTAACAATGCTTATTAACTATATTTGAAAATATATGCACTAACAATTGATTCATTTTGTATTGTGATTATGTCTTACTGAATAAATACATTGAATAACACATACATGCAGGCTTGGTGAGCATATGACATTTCCTCTACAAATATGTTTTTCTTACGTGTGTCATCCTCATTTACAGTGAGTCACTTTATAAATCTCATTTCTAAACATACTTTCTCCTACATTGACTTTCGATATTACTTTTCAGTGATTTCCTCACAGCCTTTTGATGTTTTTTTTTAAGAAAAACACTGAAGTGATTCATCCTAATTTACCCACACATCCATCGCTTTGAAAGGTCATGTTAAAATCTTACTTGAAAAAGAGAAATCCCAGCCTCTGTGGCAGAAGTAACTCATTCCACTCTATCTATTTCCTACCTTCACCACTTTGCATCCTACAGTGACTGCAGACTGCATCATTCCATCCGCAAGGCCCAGTCGGTCTGTGTTTTGCAGGAAAGGTGTTATCAGGGTCACAAATTTAGCACCACTCCAGGGTTTCAGGAGATCTAGGGCCCATTTTTCAGTTTCACCCCCAATGCTGTCTAAAATCAAATCGAACCTGGGAGAGATAAAGGAGGAATTTTCATTTCTTCAAGTTCTACCAAAACTCAAATCACAAACTAATAGCCCCAAAACAAACTTTTCAAAATTCTTTAGCTGCTTTTCAACTGGCCCAGCAGTGTAGTCCACGACATCATCAGCACCTAGGTCTCTCACCAGCCGCTCAGCATTCTGGGAACATGTTACAGTCACATGTGCACCCCAGGCCTTTACCATCTGTTGAGAAGAAAACTATTTGTTAAAACTCAATTAAAATGCCATTTATTTAGCATGTTAAACCAAAAATTATGCATTTTATTACTCTTTAAGAAGGAGATGAAATACATAATTATTAAAAATTAAATAATAAATTAAAAATAAATGTAAAAAAAGATTGTTACCATCAATAGTAATCACTATACCTGTATTGCAAAAGTTCCCACTCCTCCTGATCCTCCCAGAATAAGAACACTGTATGAGAAAAGCATAGAATAATCTTAGCATAGATTCGCATCGACTAATAGTCTTAATTAACTGCACATCTATCCCTTTTCAACTAAACCTCTAGGATTTCATGAGAAAGATTTAAAAGTGTTGATGGGATGAAAGTGAAGTGAAAAGAACCTTCCTGCATCTAAAATATGGTTGTCTTTAAATAAGAGGAATCTGCTGCATAATGGGGTTAATGTGAATGCTTCAATCTTATAATTAATGTAATTTTGTAATTATTTTGAGGCACCAAATCTAATTCTGCTACATGATGATTCAGTTAATGCTGTGAGGACATAATGAACGGAATACATCAGACCAACTGAAGGCTGGAGGTAAAACCTGACACAGAACAAGACAAACACAAAGAGAAACAAGTATTTCTAGTTAAAAGGGGTTATTTAAATATGTTTATTTATTTTAAAACATTTTTCACTTGCAATTTCTCTGTTCATTAGAACTGAAACTATATTTTACCCTGCTGTACATTTCCAGGTTTTAAGCATATGAAATCAATGCAATGCTGTGCTCATGTCCACATTTTACTCTTATCTTTAATTCCTCTTTGTTATAATGGGGTTAAGACAAGATATCAGCCAGGCTTTGCTATAACTCATGAATAAAACTGGCTATTAGTACACAAAAATAGAACTTATCTTGCAGAGTGCACAATAGTAGACAACAGCAAACACCCAGAAAGACTGGCATGTTTAGTTTTCTTTCAGTCCTTCATAATGTGGCTCAGTCACTGAGAACAGAACAGTCCTGTATCTTGCTTTCAAACACGCCAAAATGAAAGCAAGATACAGTTATTGTGTTGCAAGGAGGAATGGAGGAGAGATTTATGGAACTATAGTGACAATACTTTTACCAGAGTTGGGGAAAGTTACTTCAGAAAGTAATGCATAACAACTTAGTTACTTTTTATGGTAAGTAATGCGTTACGTTACTTGTGAGTTACTTTTTATTGCCTGGTTAAGGCTTGATCTGTCTCACCGTGTTTTTTTTTCTTTCTATTTTTAATAGAGGAGCTCTGCATTTACAGTTTTTCCCAGTCACTTTGGCAAATTTCTCAGATCAGAATTGAGATTTGCAAAGCAGGAAGTGGAGCAAAACAGCATGGATTACCTGCAAAAGCCAGTTTCTTGCTCAAAATCTAAATTTCTGTGTCAATTAATGTGTCAGTACCATCAGAATGACAAGTACTGCTGTCATTGTGTACGGGTAAGACAGTCAAATGACTTAGTCATGTTCTCAATATAACAGTGTACTCTGGAGGGATGTTCTGATGTAAACTATGGCGAATTATTTTATTTTATTTTTTATTTTTTTGCTGTTTGTACTGTAATTTGTTGCCAGATCATGTCATTGTGATACAGATATGAAAGGACAGCACTGCAAAAAACAAAGAAAACAAAACCAAAGTAGAAATGTTAAAATGGACAACCTCCTTTCAGATGCACTTTCATTAGACAAAACCAAGACTTGCCTTCGAGAACTCTTTATACCAGTTGTAGACAGATTTAGAACAAGTCTAATGGAAAAATGCATTATGAGTAAATATTAAGAAAACTTGTTCACCCATTTTGCTTGTAAAGACTTTGCCATGAACAAATAATTAAACAAATGGTTAAATGTTGTGGGGGGGTGAGACTATTCAGAGCCAAAATAATAATTTTTAACAATATGACATAAGTGATTGATGTAGAAAACAGCAGAGAATTGCACGTAATCATTTGCGTGGATGTACGCAAGCTTTTGCAACTTGTTCAAAGTAATGAGAAATTGCTTTTTTGATGTGCACAAGTGTCACAATTATGTGAAGATTGAACAAGTAGACTTAAGAATTTCAATTCTGATCTTAGAAATGTACCAACGCGACTGAGAAAAAACTGTAACAATGCACTGTATAACCTACACCTACATTTATCTTTAAAAAATGTACACATTTACACATACATTATATTTTTTTTAGGATTATGTTATGTGAGACTTCCTGACCCCAGAGACATTCATGCCGTGTATGTATACAGATAAAGATACTGAAAGTTTAATGGAATGTGTTTGCTACTTTTGTACTATTTAAGTAAAATCACTGTTTTTTGAGACTATAAACCCCTTTTTCTTTGATGCATTCAAAATAATGAACACATTCTCTCATGACTGCATGATTCACTGTAACTACTTTAATTTTTTAATTCAGCAATTTATTTTTAAAGCTAAATAATAAAATTAAAAAGTAACGCAAATATTAATACTTTAAAAACTATTGCGTTACTAGAGAAAAGTAATATTACGTAACTCGCGTTACTTGTAATGTGTTACCCCCAACACTGACTCTTTACTTCAGTAGTCATTATTTTTTTCCAGATGTCAGCAAGTGCTGATGCAGTGTGTACTCTGACATATTTCTAGAACAGAACATGATATTAAATCAGGATTGAAATTTGCATAATCTGACTGTTATAACAAGCAACAATCTTGTGTGACTTGAGCCTGGCATTAGAAATAATAGTAGCAATGCAGCTGTAAAAAGTCAAATTTCAATGCATTTTATTGCAAGGCAAGACAAAATAATACTTGATTCCAGCAAAAAAGTACTTGCCGTTTTTTTACAGAGTTATCTTTGTTGAGGCCACCGGTGTTGACGATGGCAGACCAGGCTGTTGCAGCCACATACGGGATGGATGCGGCTTCATCATGCCTCAGTGATTTAGGCTTATGTGAAACCTGAAGCACAGACGAACAAAGGAATTCTTTACACTGGAGCACTGTGAATATCTACAGGACAACTTCTGTACTGAGCTTCAAATCAGTTTTTATCCATGACATGCTTCTGAATAATTACCTCATTGCCACTGACCACTACAAACTCTGCCAGACTGCCCTGCTTCCATGGAGGAATAGCGGCCCACACCTAACAGAGAAAAACAAACACTTTTAAAAGGCCAGAGCAGACAATACCTGATGACGTAAGGTTTCTGGAGTAATCGTAGCATAAGAGTTCAGCATTACTTGAAAAAACAACTGAATAGGGCACCTGATCTCCTGGTTTAAAGTACTTCACATCCAGCCCACATTCCATGATCTCTCCGGATACATCTCGACCCAGAATGAGAGGAAATTCACCACCTGATTGGCTGATGTTCAGTGGGTCACGCTTCATGGCCATAGTAGCTGCTCCATAGCCACCTACAAGAGCGAAAATAAAAAGAAATGATTTCATACACTACTCATCTTTACCTAAAATTGTACATATATTTATTGTACATTTTAAAATGAAATTGGCATTAAGGAGTGTGAGTTGAGCCGGTCACAACATGCCTCGTGTGACTCATCCTTTCATAATAACATGTGTTCATTGGAATAAAGCTGGAATATTTAACTAGCATGTAAGGACTAGATGAAAAACTGAAATACCAAAAACAAATAAACAAAAATTTAATCGGGAAAAATATATAAATCAAAACTAAAGGAATGTATAGCATAGAGCAGGGTTTCTCAACCACATTCCTGGAGGCCACCAACATTGCAAGTTTTGGATGTCTTCTTTGTCTGTTACACCCATTACAGGTCTTTCAGTCTCTGCTAATGAGCTGATTATCTGAATCAAGTATGTTTGGTTGAGGAGACGTTGAAAATGTGCAGAGCTGGTGGTCCTCCAGGAATGTGGTTGAGAAACACTGCCATAGAGTTTAAAATTACAACATACAAAGTAATGTAGACGAATTATGGCATATAATAATAACTATGTAGTTCACATTGTGATATATTGTATGCCATATTGCAAACATATTGCTTATTAAAGGTGATCATGTCACTCGCAAACATATGAACGTGTCAGACATTTGTGAACCACATAGATGCCTTTATTCGACCTTTGCTGATTCCCACAAGACATATTATACTTATAATTACAGATATATTCTAATGAAGCGTTCTAAAGTCCCCTCACATACCCCTCATACTGATGTCAATTGGGTTGAGACCCGCAGCGTGCACCTTTACCACCACTTCATTAGGATAGTGGATGATCGGAAGCGCCGCGTTCTTGGTGAACCTCAACACATCGTTTTTCCCGTATTTATCAATGACCCATGCGGGCATTACAGTCCTGCGAGCGGCTGAGAAACTGAAGCTCCTGTAATGACATCTCAGCGAGCACACCAACCACCGTCTACACATCAACATGGTTGATCAAACTTTAAAAAGATAATCCAGAGGATCCCGCTTATAGTATCACAAACCCGTCATTGGTCAGAAATAAATGTTATAACTGTTGAATAACACGCTCGAGAACAGCCATTCCGCAAAGTCAAAACAAACCGGTGAACTTTCACACGACGCACTGGTCCAATCACAGGCCGAGTTGCTCTTAGGTTGACCAATCAGAGGGCGGAGAAGAGAGGACGTCATTGAGGTCAACACAAAGTGTCATGTCAGCCTCCAGTGCGGCGAGGCGTCCTGTGGAAGCGATGCTCGGCCTGTCCATTAGAGAGGTCTGTTTAAATCTATTCATCCAGCTTAAATGTTGCTAAGAATTAAACTTTATAAACAGTCACCGTGCTGATTCTTGGCGTTGTGCGCTGTAAACCCTTTCAAAAATGACCAATAGCCAAGTGTTGCAAAGCTAACCAGCAAACCATTCTGCCTGTTTTCAGCAGGGTGTTATTATTTTTCATTTTGTTTATCCGACAAAAGTTTGGAAAGATTAAGATTTGTTCTTGTGTTTTATTCATTTGCTGCATTTGTTTGTTTATAACCAACACATCTTCAGTTTAAAATAACAGTATTCTATGTAAACAATTTGTAATTTGTTCCTGTAATTCATTTTTTTTATTTAGAATTTCTTATTTGAAATCATACAGAAATGTTAATGGTGCCCCCGAATTTCTTGAACATTAAATTATTATTAATGCTTATTTATATTGATTATATTAATAATGATAATATAAAAATGCTAAATTATTATTAAAAAAGGTTACTGCTTCATATGTATGTGGTAACAGGATACATGTTACATGTTAGGATTTATTTTATGCATAGTTTAAAATGAAAGCCTTTGTTTGTACCATCACTGATTGCTTTGATTAATAAATGTATCAAAATTAAGGATAATTCTTTTCAATATTGATAATCAGAAATGATGTCAGCTGAGCATGAATTCTTATTTCTCAAAAAGCCCATGTTTCTGCTTGCTATAGGTGTCTCAGGCACTGAGGGATGGGAAGGTCTCTGCCACTGAACTCTGCAGAAAATGCATCAACCAAATACAACGAACGCGTTACCTGAATGCTTATATAACCATTGCAGAGGAGACGGCCATGGAGCAAGCAGAGAGAGCAGATAAAAGGCTCCGCACAGGTGAGTTTGTGCCACATAAAATGTAAGTCTATTTATTTTTTAATCATAATTTCCATGTACTTCATGTTTTTTTTAAAGGTAAAACACTTGGTCCTCTAGACGGCATTCCTTTCTCTGTAAAAGACAACTTCTGCACAGAGAACATCAAGACCACCTGTGCTTCAAACATGCTTAAAGGTCAGCTTAAGTACGCTAAAGTACAATATATTTACTGTCTTTGTCACAAAATGGTTGTGACATGTTTGATTCCCATTATCTGTTTGGATTGGTAGGTTATGTTCCTCCATTCAGTGCTACAGTTGTGCAGAAGCTGTTGGATCAAGGAGCAGTTCTTGTTGGAAAAACTAATTTAGACGAATTTGCAATGGGGTAAGTAAACTGTTTTTTTTTTAACAAAAAATGATGCCTTTATTCATCAAGGATTAAACATTTATCAGGATTCAACACAAAAAACTCCTAAAATGTATACATATACATTTTACAAATCTAAGCTAACCATTTTCTACATTAATAATAATTTTATGTTCTTTTATGCATTCGGCATATAAGCCTTCATCCAAAGTGACTTTTGTGAAAGTTTTTTCCTTTCTTGGGATTTTCTATACTATTTGAGAAACAAGAAGGCTAATAATTATTTAATTAATATATATATATATATATGGAATAATGATCACAGAAAATTCAGCTTTTCTATCACATGAATAAATTAAATTTTAAATATAATAAAATACAAAAAAGCTACTAAATCATAATAATATTTCCTTTTTTACTCAATTTATTTATTTTAATAAAAGTGTTGGTGATAAAGATTTTAATCATTGTGCATTAAAAATTTACACCAAGCACCAAACATAAAAATAAGAACTAAAGAGCTAAACCTCATAAATAGACTAAAGAGATATGCCTCATAAAAATGTCTTAATGATGTCAAGTAAATTATTTTTTATATATATTTTCAGACATGAGTTTCTTTGCAAGTGTTACTGACAATTTCCTCTTTGTCTTTCAAGAGCTGGAAGTACAGATGGGGCTTTTGGTCCAGTTCGTAATCCATGGAGTTATGCAGCCCCTTACCGTGAACAGAGTGCAGAAGATCCAGATTCAGACTGGACAATAACAGGAGGAAGTTCAGGAGGCAGTGCAGCAGCAGTGGCATCTCTCAGCAGCTTCCTGTGAGTCTATAACATGGTCTTAAAAAATCTTAAAATGTCTTAAAACTCAAAAGCTAAGCTTTAAAAAAGCCTTAAAAAGTTTTAAATCGACTGAAATCTTGTATTGTAGATCTTAAATCTTTTTTACATGTCTTAATTTTCCTAAGTATATTCATAGGTATAGCTACTCAATCTGTCTATTAACACCCATACAATCACCAACAATCCCTCAATAAAACTTCTTTATTTTAAAATAACATTAAATTTCTTTCCTTACAGTAACACTTGCTTAAAATTTTCTTTATTTATTTACTGCTGAGGATACTGACCTGACCTGATTTTTATAATAATAAATAATTATTATTGTAGACTGAAGTAATTGATCGCTATGTTTTGTTTTAGTCTTGTTAAGGGTTTAGGATTTGTGAATGAATATATTTGAAAATTAATAAAAAATATTCAAACTAAATTATAATTATTTTATCAATAAATGTATTAAATTGTAATCATTTTTGATAGGACAAGTGAAAATCTTATCTAACTGGGATATTTAAAAAATCCATAGCATTTAGCTTTGTCCGAGTCTAAAATTACATACATAATGGTCTTAAAAATGTCTTGTCTTGTTAAAAAAGTATTATATTTAACTTGGTAAAACCTGTAAAAACCTACTATAAACATCAGAAACATTTATTAGAGAAAGTACTGCTTGTGTCTACACACTGTATAATTGAGTAGGTGCTCTCGAGTTACTACAAAGGAACAGTTGTACGTTTGAAATTATAGATGCATTCATTTATTCATTTTCTTTTTGGCTAAGTCTCTTTAATAATCTGGGGCCGCCTGAAATAATATGTCATATAAATAATTTAGTATATTTATATTGTGAACAGATGTTGATAAAAACGTATTGCTTATTTTGTGACACTATAATTGAGCAAAGTGCATTTATTTAAAAATGTAAAGAAATATATTTAGTTTTCATATGCACAATATGAGTTATGTATTTAAAAACACTTTACTACACAAAGTCTCAGACAATTGGTATACACACAACTATGGGGGAAAAATAAAAAAATAAAGCCATTATTTACTTACACTTCAATTGTTTTAAAACTGTGTGTCTTTCTATTTAACACAAAAGAAGATATTTTGAAGAAACCTGGAAACCCGTAACCATTGATTTCCATTGTATTTGTTTCCTTCTATGGTTACTGGTTTTCAGCATTCTTAAAAGTATCTTTTTTATGCTCATCAGAATAAACTCATAATGGTTTGGAACCACTTGAGAGAGAATAAATATTAAGGAAATTTTCAATGATCAACAAACTGTCCCTTTAAGAGATCACATGACCATTGTCTGTAACTCTGGATTTACTGTATTTTATTAGGTACGATTTGATAAAAAATGTAATATTTGTTTTATTCTATAAAGGTCTGATCATATCCAATTCGCATTTTCTTGTTTTCCAGTAAAAATATTGTCATTTAGAGATTTATTTGTTTAGTTTTTATCAGAAAATGACGATTAAAATAGCAAATGTTTTCTCTTGTTTTGATCAAAAATCAGGATTTTCCACCAAATATGAATTTCTTAAAACATATAAAAATTGTAACCGTTGAAATTATGTTGTGTGAAATGTCTAAAAGCATACCATCCTTTCTGTTGTTATTTAAAAATGCTCAAAAAAACAACAATTACATTTTACTCAAACTATAAATCAAACATTTTCAAGTGTTCTGTTAAATGTTTTCATATAGCTGCAAATCTTATATGTTGTTCACATGTTTTTCATTTAGAGCCTTAGGATCTGATACTGGAGGCTCCACGCGAAACCCTGGTTCTCTCTGTGGAGTGGTGGCTCTGAAACCCTCGTATGGCCTCCTGTCACGTCATGGCCTCATCCCTCTGGTTAACTCAATGGACGTGCCAGGAATCATGACCAGAAGTGTTCACGATGCCGCCACTGTTTTGAGTATGACAGTTGTTAATAATCAGCATATCGGATGCGTTGATTTAAAAATCAGTGGTTTATGTTTTTAACTTTTGTGTTTCAGGGATTCTCCAGGGACGAGATGAGAGGGACTCAACAACTGTCCAGGCACCAAACACTCCACCCAGCCTTCCTGAACATTTTGACATGAGAAAGATATGTGTTGGCATACCAAAGGTAAAGCTGCATTCAGATCATCTACTGTGTGACAACAGATTGATGACGGGGACTCAAGCAAACATTGGTTTTAGGCCTGCACAAGCTATTTCTCTGTATAAAAGTACATATATATTTACTTGTGAAGCAAAATGAAATGTCTTTATTACAAGATATTTGTTAAAATATATCTTAATGTTTAAAATTTACTCTACTGCAAAGTGCCTTAAAAGATGTTCAACTGGAGAATAAATTGTTTCATTTATAAAATCATGTCATGTTATATTCACTGGCAATCTAAAATAAATAAATAATTTATTTGTAATTTTATATATATATATATATATATATATATATATATATATATATATATATATATATATATATATATATATATATATATATATTTATATTTATATATATATATATATATATATATATATATATATATTTATATTTATATTTATGGCCATTATACAGTTTTACTTTTTAATACAGTAATAATAATTTTACCAAAATAAGCTTAATTGATTTAAATATACCAAACAATGGGCATAAATATTAGCAAATACGGTCAAAAGCTATTTTGATTAGACTTTATTTTGATGATCCTTATGGCCCCAACACATTTTGTTGACTAAAAGTTGCATTGCAACTACATGCCAGTTAAATCTTATTTGAGTATTAGTAGACTGTCTGCTTAATATCTGCTGATACTGCTCCTTCAACAGACATTTAACTGACTATAAGAAGCTTTGCAAGTACATGTCAAATTAAATTAACTTAAATTCCACAACATGTGTTAAAGGAACCATCAAAATAAAGGTATACCGCTATTTTTTCAGATTTTCAGGTGAAACATGGCCCATACCTGTCATTGTAAACTTGAATAGAGTTTATATTGTAATAGAGTTTCTGTGATGTAGGAATATCATGCTCCTGGTCTATCAGAGGACACTTTGGCCCAGTGGAGTAGAGTGGCAGACATATTTGAAAATGCGGGTGCTAGGGTAAAAGAGGTGTCTTTACCACACACCCCATACTCCATCGTCTGTTACCACGTCCTGTGCTGCTGTGAGGTGGCATCCAACATGGCACGCTTTGATGGGCTTGAATACGGTACTTACACCTAAACATTTTCTAAAGTATTCCATAACAATCACCCCTATATAATATGTTTATGGGATAGTTTACCCAAAAATGAAAATTCTCCCATCATTTACTCACTCTTGACTCGTTTCAAAGCAGTTTGATATTTTGAAGAATTGTTGAAAACATGTTACCATTGACATCCACAGGTTTTCAACATTTTAAAAATATCTTCTTTGTTTTCAACAGAACAAAAACTCGAACTGCTTTGGGACACGTGAAAGGGGAGTAATTAATGGGAGAATTAGGTGAACTTAATCCAAGGCCAACACACTGCAGGTTAATAGGGAACAAAAATGAATATTTACTACCATACAGTACATCCACAGTACCGCAGGTTTTCTAAAATGTTCTGTTTAAATACCCAAATGAGGCATTATTTAATTAAATATCCTCATTTACGTAGATTTTCTGCAAAAAAAATCTAATCGTTGGATTGTCAGGTTTACAATAAATGTTTAGTTTTTATGAAAATTCATACATCAGTCAAATTAATGGTAAAAATAAAAAACTTATTTTTAAATATAAGATTTTTTTTTAAATGGATCAATACTGCTGAAATTGAGATTAATGGCTCTGTGCAAAAAAAAAATCTTTTTTTTTGACAAATCAGCCTTTAGAAATATGCATTGTAATTGAAATCTACAAACAAAAATTGATAAAGAGCTAAAAAAAAAAAAACACTTAAACGTATATTTTGGATTACTATACTAAAAAAAAAAACACTTTATGAGAAGTCAAAAATCCCTAAAGGTGCATGAAAAAACATTTTGTCATGCTGTCCTGAAGGGCTGGTGTGCCTGTAGGGCAGGGGTGGGCAAATTCGGTCCTGGAGGGCCGGTGTCCTGCACAGTTTAGCTCCAACTCTAATCAAACACACCTGCTTATAGATTTCTAGTGATTTTGGAAACACTGATTACCATGTTCAGGTGTGTTTGATTAGTGTTGGAGCAAAACTATGCAGGACACCGGCCCTCCAGGACCGAGTTTGCCCACCCCTGCTGTAGAACTTAGCTCCAACTAGCCTCAACACACCTGCTTGGGTGTTTCAAGTATACCTATGATGGCCTTGATCAGCTTGTTCAGGTGTGTTTAATTAGGGCTGGAGCTAAAATCTGCAGGACACCGGCCATCCAGGAACAAGTTTGGTGGCCCCTGCTTTAGGATGTTATTTGTGATGTAAAAAGCATAAAATATAATTTTAACATTATAATTTTAACATCTCTATATTAAGTAAATTAATAAATTAAGTTATTGAGTTTTAAAGCCTTTTAAAATGTCCTTTTTTGTCCTCAGGTCATCGCAGTGCGGTGGACAGCTCCACAGATGCCATGTACGCCACCACACGACATGAAGGTTTCAACAATGTTGTTCGCAGAAGAATTCTCTCAGGGAACTACTTCCTTCTGAAATCGTGAGAACCTCAAAAACAGAACTACTGTTGTCTCAGATCCGTTGAACACATTTTTAGCTTATTCATTGTGATTGTAGCAATCCTCACGCCACTTTTTTTAAAAATAAGCAGGTGTAAGTAAATTTAGCTTACAGATTGGCTTTAGTTCTTCTACACTGGTACAACATTACTATGAGTGTACTATAGTTATACTGTTCAAAAGTTTGCTGTTTGTAAGATTTTCTTATTTTAAGAAACTAATACATTTAAGCCGAGTTCAGACTGCATGATTTTAGCACCAAGTTTGACTCGCTGACAGGTTTTGAAAAATCGCCAACAAATGCCTGAAATCACTGGCAAATCGGAATAACAATCACACAGTATTAATTATCAAAGACGCAATCGAATCGCACATGAGTCGCCAACACCTGTGAGATATTTAGCATGCTAAATATCTGGGCCTGTTGACGATTGCCATGTGAAATATGTTCTAATTGAAAATAACACTGTGATTACCTACAGCCAATGAGAGAGCAGCATCCACTGGTATGGATATCTGCAGGCCAGCGGGGTCTTGAGGAAAAGTTAAAAGCACTCACTTTCAGTTTATTTGGACCCTAGAAAGGGAGGAAAAACTTGTGTAAATTAGCAGGAGCACCCGTGTCTGTTTGACGCGCCATCTGAGCAATACCACAACCGGATCAAAAAAAAAAAAAAGTTGGAGAGAAATTGCTAATTCTCTTCAACATCCAGGTGAGCAAAATAAGAATTTTATCTACCCCACAGAAGCTTCTTTCTCATTATGTATTTAATATCAAAATATACATGCGTGACCTTGCATTGTTTCCATGTCACTTCTCACGAGTATTTAAATGTCAGACGTAGTTTTGGCAACGTTGTCGGTGATTCTTCCTATTTTAAAGTCATGCAGTGTAACGCCGATCCATCTTGCAGTGTAAACACAGCACCAACAGAACGCTACCCCAGATAGTCATGCAGTGCAAAAACTTCTGTGACATGACTAATTTGAAAATCAAAGATGCATTAGATGCATTAAATTGATCAAAATTATCGGTATTTTCACATTATTGCTTTATATATTAGCGATATATACATATATTTATTTAAACTTTCTTATCAAAGACTCCTCATAAGTAAATCACAGCTTTTGCATAACTATCAATCTGCACAACTGTTCTGTTTTCAATAATATTAATAATAATAACAACAACAATAATATTAATTATAATAACAATAATATTATTTATAAAAATAATGATACAAAGATGAGCAGGTTTCATGAGCATCAAATCATTATATTAAACTCATTTCAGAAGGATCAGGTGACACTAAAGACTGAAGAAGTGTCATGTAAAGTTCAACAAATTTAAAAGGAAATTTATTATTTATAGTTATTTTTAAGTGTAGTAATATCTTACAGTATTCCTGCTGTCTCATATATTTTATTTTTTAGTCTGAAAATCAAATCTTGCCAACTCCAAACTGTTGAACAGTAGTGTAATGTACAATAATTCTCAATGAACCTAACCCTAACCCTACCTACCTGCAGAAGTTATTATATCATAACAACACATAATCTGCATTTTACTCAAGCAATTGTGATGAGAAATTGTCTGCTAAAATGGCCATCATTTATATAGAGATTTTCGTATATACGTTGAAAGGCAGTACACTGTAAATATATCTGTGAATTAGCCGTTTTCTGTATTTTGTGACTTTGTATGTTTTTATTTGGCATTTTTTTCAAATTTATTTATGCTGTTCAATTGCATCATGGGACCCTGATCTGTCTTCCAACAACTGTTAACCTTGAAAAGTTTGAAAAAGTGACTTTTTAACATTTTTATAAAGTGATGTGTTGTCTGGGGTGGTGTTGTTTATTATGAAACAAAAACTCTGTAGTAAACTGCTAGTAAATTTCCTATTATTTTACAGACTGTATGTTATTTCTCATATGTTATATTATTTCAGACCACTAAAATGTTAATAAAAGTCACTTTGTTAAACTGTAGAGTTGAATTTTCAACATTAAAAGTCGACAGATCAGAGACCAAGGTCCCACAATGCAATTAACAATCATGAAAGAAAAACCCAAAATACATAAAATAAATGAACAGATATTCTTTACAGTGTACTATAAGGTTACTCTTTAAAAAAATAAAATAACATAAAACACTTTCAAAATTGTACCATGATACATTATCTTTGACTTGCAAATCTTTTGATATCAGTCCAAACCTACTGCAATGTAGTGGGTTTTTCATGCAGCTGTGTCTTGGTTTTCTCTCACTGTGGGTTTACAGATATCAGAGTTTCAAATCTCTCACAATCTTTCACTCTTTGTCTCTTTAGGAACTATGAGCGGTACTTTGTGAAGGCTCAACAAATGCGCCGCCTTATTGCTGAAGACTTTAAAAAAGTGTTTAGTTCTGGCATAGACGTTCTCCTCACCCCCACAACACTGAGCGATGCGGCACGTTACGCCGACTTCATAACAGAAGACAACCGAACACGCAGCGCTCAGGAGGATGTCTTCACACAGCCTGTCAACATGGCAGGTATGCACATGTGTAAATGCTACATACTGTAAAGGTGAATTACCACTGCTGAGCTCTGCACAGTCACAACAAACACAAAGGGCTGATGAGTTTTTAGCAGTTAGTAGTGAAAAAATATTGATTGCCAACCTGGTAGATATTAAAATACCAGTTTGATTATAAACATGACAAGTAATATTAAAATTTTAATAATAATAATAAAAATATCTAAAAAATTTTGTTATTGGAAAAGCGTAAGGGGAATACTGTTCAGCATTAAGCCAAGAAATACAGTATGTAGCGGAAATTTAGTTTTAGTTTTTTTTAAAGCTTTAATTATGGGAGCAACAGCACTACGGTTTCCCCCACAGTCCAAAGACATGTGCTATAGGTTATTTAGATAAGCTAAATTCTCTGTAGTGCGCGAGTGTGAATGTAAAAGTGTATGGTTGTTTCCCTGTGTTGGGTTGCAGCTGGAAAGGCATCCGCTGCGCAAAACCAATGCTGGATAAGTTAATGGTTCATTCTGCTGTAGCGACCCCAGATTAATAAAGCCGAAAAGAAATGACTGAATGAATGAATGAATGACAACAACACTGTAAGCGCCACCTACTGTCAGAAAGATGTTTCATATATTAAGTCAGACTTTCTATAAAAACTGTTGACTGTTTTAACCCTTTTGAAAGTAGATTGAGCTTTTTATGCACTATTGCAAATATTATATTAAAATCGTGCATTCAAAATAAAAAGTGACTTAATTTGAATGTAGTAAATATTAATAATATAACATGTTTTGTTTGACATGTCAACCAACCAACAGTTTTAAATCTGGCCTCCGTTGTTAATGTTATTATTTAAATTTTTATGAAGTTGTTATCATTTTTAAAAACAACTCATTTTAAATATGTGCCCTCAAACAATTCTATGTGCAGATGACTTTCTTCTTTCAGAAATACACAGTTGTAAAACCTGTAGTTGTACATTAGTAGTTTACATTTTATCCTGGCTGTAGCAATGGGTAGCGGCCCTTTTATTTGAAGCATCTAAAATGGTGTCTGCTGGATCTTAAATTTCAAAAGCTATATTTTAGGCCTTAAAAAGTCTTAAATTCACTGAAATATTGTCTTGAAATAAGTCTTAAATCATTTTAAACAGGTCTTAATTTTGCTGTGTCCTAGTAAAGCTACTCAATCAGGCCGACATCTATCCAATCAACAACAATACATCTCAATAAAACCTTATTCTTTATATTTACATTTGTTATTGCACAGAGATACAGTTCACAACATCTTAAGACATTTTTATAGAAAGTTACACATTAAATTTCCTAATCAGGAATGATTCTTCATCATAATAACGAGTCATTAGGGGAAAAAAATCCTTGGTGTTTAATCTTGTATAAGTCTAAAATTAAATTTTTAATGATCTTAAAAGAGTCTTAAAAAATCTTAAATTTGACTTGCTGAAACCTGCAGAAACCCTGTAAAAGCACATAAATCTGTTGTACAAATAACCCATATGTTTCCAGTGGTTTGATGTGTTTTTGTAACAAAGAATTTCTAAATTATAAACCCAAATCTCTGGCTCGACTTATATGATCATGTAGTCCAGTTCAAACAAATATGGCTGTTGGAAATACATCTACTCTTACAAAACTTCTGTTACAAATGTATTATACTTCAATTCACAGGAAGTTGTCTAGAACATGCCAGCCAACAGAAGTCTGTGATTTTAAAATTTTTACTAAAAAAAATATTTTGTTGCAGAAACACGATCCACATCATAAGACGTGTGTTAACCCCTGTTTACATATGGGTTAGTGTTAGGACGAATTTGTGCACCTTTGGAAGCTTCAAAAAAGGGTCATTACCCAACACCATTATACAGCATGGAAGAGCCAAGATAAAATTAAAAACGACATCGATTGTGTTTGTCTGATAGAAGAAAGTCAGGAGGGCTTGAGGAAATTATGAGAAAATTTAAATGTTTGGGTGAACTACTTCTTTTAAGTGTTTTGAATGCTAAACTAGGGTTTTCTTGGTAAAAGAAATATGTGTCAATGCGTCTATGAAACAACAAAACACATCCGTCTGTCTTTGTGTGATATTTTTGTAAGCCAATAAGTCTATAAATCTGTAAATTTTTTTATTTATTGTCTTTCCCCCTTTAGGTTTGCCTGCCGTCACGGTCCCAACAGCACTCTCACAGCGAGGTCTTCCCATTGGCCTGCAGCTGATAGGACAGACACTACAAGACTGGAAATTGTTGACAATCGCCCACTGGATGGAGAAACAACTCCACTTCCCAATGATCCGATTCCACAGGGACTTAAATGAAAATGAAAGAGAGCAGAACAGATCCATCAGAGAAAGGACACACACAGTAGGATCATAACCAAAACCCAAAGACAGAACAGGTAAAATTCAGAGGAACTGAAAGGATTTCTGGGGTTAAATTTGATATCAAAGTTCAAACAATTAAATGTTATATGAGATGCTATTGTCTGTATATATCTGTTCTTGGGTTCTATGATTCAAGGCTTATTTCCCAAAATACAAGTGACATTTATTATGCAGCGTTGGTGTATGTGGAGCCACTGAATTAAATGTATTACTGCAAATGTGTCAACAATGCAAAATTAACTGTGAAAAAATTATCACAATTTTAATTAAACTAATTGTTTGATATCTGATTGTGATCTTTAAAATGACTTGTTACAAACCAAACCAAATTTGCAAAAGCATGATCGTTTAGGGAGGTAAAATATTCTTCATTTACAGTACAGGCAGAGCACGTACAGTACAGGCCAGCCCGCAGCAAGTAACTTGTAGTCTTCAAGAATGGTTGTAGTTTTCCAACTGAACTGCATCCACATTGTGCACCATTTGCACTGCAGCACAGCAACAAACCACACTGGAGCAAAGTTTAACCACATTCTCTGCACGCATCCTGTTTCCAACGAATACAAATACCTTTTTTCTCTGCAAGAGCTTCAGTTAAGTACAGAATGTGACACAAATGAATAAAGTGATTTATAGATTCACATGTGCATAATGGATTTAGCAAAAGAACAGAATCCAAAGTTAACCTTTAAAAATAATGCAGAATAAAGGGACTGATCACCCGAAAAGGAGAAATTGCTCACTATTTATTCTACCTCAAGGAATTCCAAACCTTCATCAGTTTCTTTATTCTGTTGAACACATGTATCCAACTTTCTTCAAAATATCTTCTTTTGTGATCAACAGAAAAAAAGTCAAGGTTTGGAGCAAGTGAATGATGAGTAAATAATGACAGAATTTTCAGTTTTATGTGAACTGTCCCTTTAAGATTTACACTATCATGAAAAACTGAGGGTGCAAATGTTTTTCTGTAATGGCAAAAGTGAGCTTTTAGCACCTTTACTTCAGTGAGAGTCACATGATATTTCAGAAATCATTTTGATTGGTTATTTAATGCTCAAGAAACATTTGCATAATTATTAGAATCAGAATCAGTTTTATTGCCAAGTGTGCTTACACACAAAAAGAATTTGTTACATTTATGTAGCTCTTTTTCTGCACACTCGAAGCGCTTTTACACATTTTGGGGAATCTTCTCACCCACCATGAGAAGCGACAACACGAAAATAAATATGAGAAAATAGAACCCTGCACAGGCCTTAAATCTAAGCCCTGGCCCGAGATGCACAGCTCTGCCCTTTTTAACGACTTAACAAATATTTTTGGCCGAGTCCGACTCGAAGCTTGTCTTTTTATCCTGACAAACAGCTTATACTGTTACAGCCATTAAAATGGACCAGATTTGTATTTAATAGAAAGTTTTATCCAAATAATTTAGAGAAATGTTTGGAGGTTTTTGTTTTTTAATGTGAGTTTTAGTTTTTTAAGTGAAATTGAGATGCAAGCAGTATGTGGTCCAGTTTACTCAACTTATAAGTTGTGCATTGTGCGTAACCAGTTGGCCCGTCTTTTAAAGTTGTCACTATTTGAAAAGTTGACCAAAGGTTTGCCTTTCCTCTAGTGTTTTCACAGTTTTGATTTTGCCATTGGCAATTTTTCCCTTTATGTTCTCCATTGCACATTGCTGGAAGTCTCCATACGCAAGGCATTACTGGCGCCTACGGACTGCATGCATTAGATCTCATTAAACTTTTTTTAAACTTTTTTTTGAAAGCAGGCCTGAAGCCCGATTTGCGTGCTAGCTATGATGTGAAAATGAGCCTGAAGCCCAGCCCAAGGGGCATAAAAAAAGTCAGACCCCGATGGGCTCGGGCTCAAATGCAGGCTATGAGAAAATATGACAAACATTAAACAGAGATGCAATTAGACAAAAGATTTTTGGATGATGAATTTTATTTACAGAGTGGTTCTAAATATACAAGTTATAAGGAGCTACTGTGTACAAATGAGTATAAAAAAAGTATTGTATTGTATGTTGTTTTAAGGTGCTGCTGTGTACAAGTGCATATGAGAAAGTATTGCACGTTTATTGCACAGTAGGAGAATATTTAACTGTTCATGAGGTAGATGGCCTGAGGAAAGAAACTTTTCCTGTGTCTGGCTGTTTTTGTGCTCGGTGATCTGTAGCGCAGACCAGACAGTAACAGTTCAAGCAGGAAGTGTGCTGGGTGTGGGGTATTTTTGTTGCTGTATTTTTTATCAATTTAATAAATTGAGAAGAGAAGATGCATATATCATGAATCCATTTAACTCTTTTATTCAGCTTTTATTTTCAGATGGAATGCTGCTATCTAAAGTAGTTATACACTTCATAAGTTGCCAGGATAAAACATAACCACATGCCTTGGGTCTGGTTTATGGTAATTTTTCAGAGATCAGACCATGAACACTGTTTTTTTGTAAATGCACAGCTTGTACATGGCTATAATTTAGTTACTAAATTGGCAAGTAATTACTCTGCCTTTTGCTGCTTCTACTTAAAAAAAAAAGTTGTGTGTAGTTTAGAAAAAAAAGAGGTGCTAATGAAATAAAGATCTTTCTCTGAGATGCGCTTTTGCCAAGATGACAAGTACATTATAGTAGTTCTTCAGTCATTAGCCCTTGTAGACTCGGCTCTTTATTTCATTACAGATGATTGTGATTTTTTTTTTCAGCAGCACTGCAGGAAGCGGTTGTATCTAATTTAGTCAGTGATGCAGAGCTCATTTCCTTCACTTACCAAAATACACTGGCCATCTATGACCAATCATTGTCGTAAGTGTGAATGTGTGAAAACAAACAACACATTTCACATCATCTTTCACACAACATGGTGTTTTTAAGCATGTGTGTACATGTCATAGTTACTTTTCAGCAATACAGATAAATGTTAGGGTGATGTGCTGATATCCTGTTTTTTTTTTCAGATTATTTAAATAAATAAATATATATAAATATATATATATATATATATATATATATATATATATATATATATATATATATATATATATATATTTATATATATTTCAAGAGTTCACACTTAGCTGATGATTAATTATAAAGCTTTTTTGGCATGCAGTCTCCCGTTTGCAAGGCGAGAGGGGAGTTTGAGGTCAGGTAGATCTCGAGAACTCCCCTGCTGTAGTAGCTAATGAACAGATAGTGATTGCTCTTAAGAAAGAACTACTTACGGTGCATGTCTATGGTGCAGATTTGGATTAGTCGATTAACTTAAGTTGCATGTTTTTGGATGTTGAAAGGAAACTGGAAGAGGGGGATTCTTTAAGTGAAGTTGGCCGCTATATTGAACTTAGGATATTTATAGTGGTTTAGGAATCATTGGTAAATCATAAATTGGATAATGCGGGACCAGCCGCAAACTATCATAAGCACGTGATCCTCTTGAAATTAGTTTATAAATAAACTTCACAAATATCATCCAATCACAATTCACTATCAATTAACTTTGCAGTTTGTAATGATTAGATCCAATGACAATGTCCAGAGATCAAGTTGGACACAAAGGTGCTTTTAATATTAGTTTATTCATTTTCTTGTCGGCTTAGTCCCTTTAATAATCCGGGGTCGCCACAGCGGAATGAACCACCAACTTATCCAGCAAGTTTATACGCAGCGGATGCCCTTCCAGCCGCAACCCATCTCTGGGAAAATCCACACACACATTCACACACACACTCATAGACTACGTACAATTTAGCTTACCCAATTCACCTGTACCGCATGTCTTTGGGCTGTGGGGGAAACCAGAGCACCCGGAGGAAACCCACGCGAACGCAGGGAGAACATGCAAACTCCACACAGAAACGCCAACTGAGCCAAGGCTCGAACCAGCGACCTTTTTGCTGTGAGGCCTTTTAATATTATTTATAACACAAAAAGACATGAATTGACATCAAACGCTTCATGTAATCACATAATCAATGCTTCAGCCACAGAAATATGTTAGTAAAACAGCTTTGTTAAGTTAAAAGTTAGCAAGACTAACTCCTAACAGCTAAATATACTAAATGCATTTTTTAACCTCTTGTGCAAAAGTAAATCCCTTAAAAATATTTTCATATCTTAAAAACTGATCTGTGGAAACACTCCTCTCTCTCTAAAAAGTAAAAACAAATCTCCCTTACTCTAGCATTTATTTCTCTAACTGCACTTTCAGTGCCTTTGTATAATTAGCACTTCTTGTGTGTACTGTCTCTTGCTGAATCGCTAAATGCCTCTTAAATTGTAAGTTGCTTGAGACATAAGCATCTGCTAAAAGTAAATGTAAAAAGATTTTATGACAGAGTAAATTAATAACAATATTATTCAGTTTAATTCAAGCTTATTTGTATATTGCGTCTCACAATAACTATTATCATTTATTTATTATCATGCGTGGATAAATGTATTAGTGATGGTGTCCCGTATTCTGGCCAATCCTAATCTATAATCTGCTGTCAGTTGTGTAGTGATGAAATGGCCTGCATTCAATAATTTAGAAGGCTTTCTTTTGGTCAAATCCTGATCTTGCACCTTTAGGTTAAATTACTGTTTACCGGGATGCCATTGACATGTGAACATGATGTCCTATGTGAACACTGGTGAATGTTATTGAAGCAAAGCTACTACATCTACAGTTGGTGTGTGTTGTGCGGTCTGGCTCAAAATGGCTGCCATAGCGTGATCCAGGTGGATGCTGCACACTGGTGGTAGATGAGGAGATTCCCCCCTTTGTGAAAAGCGCTTTGAGTGCCCAGAAAAGCGCTAGATAAATGTAAGGATTTATTATTATTATTATTATTATTATTAATATTACGAAAGTGCTATAAAGATCAATTTAATTTTTCTCAACTGAAATGTTTTGTTTTAGATGGGTGTACCATTGTTGCGATTAAACAATTGCACGATCCTTTCAATATTTAACTACTGGCTGATTTTAGTTCCAGTAAGAAAGTGTGTTATGATGTTTTAGCAAACATGCTCAAAACAGAACCCGAAGTGAATTCAGTTTTAGTAATATCTTTAGACTTATCAGCTCATCATGTGTTCTGTTTCAGTAGAACTGCTGATGATCACATCCTTCTTTATATAGGTTCATCAATTATTGAAAACGCCACAACAGGTGTTACCCAGAGTAAACTGCACACACAGCCCACACATACTTAAGTCCCTTATTAGAAACATCTGCTTTTTTACAAAAAATTAATGCTTTAAATGTAGCATTTTTTAGCATGGTCGGACATAGGTTATCTTGTCAAGTAAAGATCAAAATATTTTAGGATACATTTAGCACAGACCTTATTTTACTCATAAAGGGTAAGCAAAAGGTTAGCAAGTGTTTGTTTAAATAGTTTTAACCACATTGTTAAAACCAAAGCAGCACTCTGCCTCATTTGGTATTCTCCACCAAAACCACCAATGATAGAGACATACAGTTGAAATCAGAATTATCAAACCCCCTTTGAATATTTTTTCTTTTTTAAATATTTGCCAATTGATGTTTAACAGATCAAGGAAATTTTCACAATATGTCTGGTGAAACAAAATTTTGTCTGGAGAAGGCAGTTTTACATTTTTAAAAAACATTTTAAGGCCAAAATTATTAGCCACTTTAAGCTATTTTTCAGTAGTCTGCAGAACAAACCATTGTTATACAATAACTTGCCTAATTCCCCTAACCTGTCTAGTTAGCCTCATTAACCTAGTTAAGCCTTTAAATGTCACTTTAAGATGTGTAGAAGTGTCTTAAAATATCTAGGAAAATATTATTTACTGTCATCATGGCAAAGATAAAAGAAATCAGTTATTAGCAGTGAGTTATCAAAACTATTCTGACCTCACTCACCTCTGACTGATGAAGCTGAAAATTCATCTTTAAAATCACTGGAATAAATGATTAAATTAAATGTTAAGCTACTTTTGAACAGTTATTTTATAGTGCAATAACATTTTACAATTTTATAGTTTGTACTGTATTTTTGATTAAATAAATGTAGCCTTCGTAAGCAGGAAAAGCTTATTTTAAAATCCTACTGACCCCAAACTATAATACACGGTAAAGTGTATTATACATATAGACATATATATAGACATTGGCACTGTGGAGTTAGAAGTCTTCAGATAGTTAATTCATGTAGAGGAAAAAAAAGCAATATTAGTACAGCATTTATTATCATAGTTTACTAATGCATTATTAAAATCCAAACTCTTGCTTGTTCACATTAGTAAATGCACCATGAGTTAACATGAACTAACAATGAACAGTGGCATTTTATTAATTACCTTTAGCAAACATTAATAAATACTGTCAATAATATAATGTTAGATGTTTGTTCATGTTAGTGGAAACATTTACTACATGTATAAAAAAGAGATGAGGGAGGGGTTTTTGGATCATTTATACAACTAGAATTTCCTATTATTTGGGTGAGCTATAGTAGATTGATGAAGAAAGTGTGTGGCAACACTCAGTATTACAAGACACTTTTGATGGCTCTTGACGGATGGTTTCAGTCTACAGAAACAGCGTTTGCGTTTCTGTAGACAGAAAGAACAGACAGAAAGAAGGAAGGTGACTGGCACTTCCTGCTCTGAGGTGCACAGGGGGGTGAAGCAGCTGCTCTCTGATCAGGGACAAAACACCCGTATTGTTCTGGTTACGTGTGAAGAGCTTTTCAGAACATGCTTACATCATTTGCTTTGAACACACACAATGTAAAAAGATCATTTTCCCTTAAAATAATAATGATGATGTGATAATAATAGATTAACATTTGTACCTTTTCTCTTTGAATGTGTCATTCTGTGACAATTGATATTATTTATTATACGAGGACCTATAAGATAAACATGATCAATGTAACCTGTTTCTGTTATCAGGCAATGAGTATTATATGTATTTGGTTTATATGTACTCTAGTATCTATCTGTAAAGCAGCAGAATCTGCGAGTTCAATCTAGAAGTGTTGCTATTATTTTGTAGACATTTTATATTATGCCATGTAGTCGATTTAGATTTGGTGTGTTTTTATCATCATTATAAGTTTATGTTTTGTAATTACTTTTGTATGTTTTTTTCTTATTTTGTTGCTTGTTAATGTTATTATTTTCCCATTGTCTAATTTACATTTTATTATTCAGCTATATTTCATTTATTAGACTTGTTATAGTTCTAGATAAAAGTATCAACACTTGTTGTGTTTAGATTGAGTTTATGTTAAAGTTCTAGTAATTTAGTTGTGCTTTTTATTATTATTCTTTGCTTTCTTTTTATGTATGTCAGTAGTTTACATTTGTATATTAATTTGTATTTTAATTTAACAGTGCTTGGCATAATTGAGCACACCCCAATTTAAAAATGAATATTTTGATCCATTTCTCAGTAAATATAGGCAATGTTTTTTAATGCTTTAAAAAAAACAGATTTATTAAATATATATTTATTAAAGTCACATTTTAGTCACCAAACATATTTACTGTAGAAATTGAAAGATAATACAATTAATTTCAAGCAATATATATATATATATCCTACAAAAGTTTTAGTATTTTTTTGTTTCTCTTAAATTTTTCTCTAACATATAAATTTGGCTAGTTTTTAGACCATTATCGTAAGTTATTTTGTTAGATAAGCTCCAGATTTGTCTTTAGTACTGACTAATCGAATGTATATGCAAACATATAATATATATACTATTATTTATATATATATATATATAATTATAGCTTCCTATTAAACATGAATTTAATTTTATCTATTCTTCTTTCACTATTTCAAGTAACAAAAACACATTTAGTTTTTATTTATTTTTTAGTATTATTTTGTCTGCCATAATGACCCTGAACACTGAAATGTGATCAAAAAGTCATGACAAGCCTATGCTACGCAAGATTGAACTTGCTGTTTTAAATCAGTGTACATTGACATGACCAAAACTAATTTAATTCAACTTAAACATTTATTATTTTTAACTGTGAATTAGGTAATTTATTGATTTTACTATCTTTTAATAATCATTTGGGGTCAAACACACTGCAAATGATTCCACATTGTCACCTGTTTATGAGCAGCACAGGTATGATGTTTTCAGTGGCCTGATTAGGTTTTGGCCCCTATACTGTATGTCAAGGAACATTAACATATGCCAAGGTACTCGGAGAGAATAAAGACTTGTTTATTGATCAAACATCTCAGGTAGGCTATGTCTTGAAAATGTTGATAGAGAGGTCTACTGTCATCTCAGAAGGGATGACTGCAAGTCCTTGACCTCATATGAAATGACAAATGTCATGTTTCTCACCGTCGCACTTAAAATAGTTGAAGCTAGTTCCCTGTTTTGGGTTTTGGCAAAGGTAATCAGTGATCTTGAGAGTTCTCATATAGCGGATATTCATTTAGAAAGATACAAAACATATATTCTTATATTTACACAAAAAACTATTTGATATAATAAACTAAGAGAGGAGTGCTGAATATTCTATGCATGACATAAGGAGTTCCGAATTACAGTTCATTTCAGTGCACCAAATGATTTAAGCTATCAAAGCTTTTTAAAGCCTACAAGCAAATAGCCAGATGTGACAAACAATGGGGTGAAAATGGCACACCGTATTTTATATTTTTTGCCACAAATTATGCTTTGCTATGTTTAAAAAGAACACATGCAAACACATACAAGGAACACATGTGAGCACTGCGTTAATGATTTTCTGAATAAAATATTTTCCTCTGAATTCCTTTGAAACTTGCAGCTTTATTCAATATGTTGACATCATTTCTACTGAAATGTGAAGTCATGGTGAGGCATTTTATGCAGCTCCTCCCCCTTTTTTTTTTTTTTTTTTAATTTCCAATAGCATTTTGTTTATTAGATTAGCGCTGTTGGTTTTTATTGCTTATATGACAGCAAAGTTCCTAGAGTAATACTGCATCTAGTTAACTCTTCTTCTAGCCTCCTCAATATAAAAAGCATAGCATTCTGTGATACATTCAAGTGGTTCTAATACATTATTTTTGGTTCTGTGGTGACTCGCGCACATGATCGCACTTTGTTTGCAATCACTTCAGGTATTATTTTATTATTTTCAGCATCTTATTGTCAGTTATTCCTGGATTAGGCCTATATAATCCAAAAATAAAAAGTATTGACATTTATCCTTAAAGTCAAATTAAGTTGATTCCTTAGTTATCGGTTTGTCTCTGTCTTTAGTTTATGTTTATGCATTTTATTGTCATTAGTAGTTCATGCAGAACTTTGCGCAAGGATTTAAATATGCTTGATGCTATGACTGCATTTACTTTAATTCAGTTTTATTTGACAGACTTATTAACTTATTCAATGTTAGCTGAAATAACACACACTCACCCATTTCCTTCCTCTGAACATGTGTGCCAAAAGCAACGACTGTTTGAAAACTGAGACCATACTGAGTATATTGAGGATTTTACAGAAATGATACAGTAAAATAGCGGTCCAGTGTAATACAAGAAAAACAAGTAAATAAAACACTCAGCATTTCCCTCATGTTTTGCATGTTTTTAAATGATTCTTTTTGTTGTATTCTAGGGTTTCATGAAATGTCTGTAAACATCACAGAAAATAAGAAAACAATTAGTATATCTTTTTCAGTTATTATTAGGACTATTGTTTTACAGTTTTTGCTTTCCTGCTGCATGTTTGAAAAAATAACTGTATATGCATGTGAGTAAAATAGGACACTCAAACATATACAATCATCCACTTTAATTGTGCATATAGACATATTCTTAATCATTATAATTACAATCAAGCCAAAAATATTGTATAACTGAATTATCATGTTTAATTTTGAACAAGGAAATCACAGCTGATGGGTATTTTCAAAAATGGGGCAAGAGTCCATCTGTGTGGCTTTGTTGGGTGTTGTCCTTTTAAAGCCGTTTTTTTTTTTTCCAGAAATATTTATATTAACAAATAAACAAAATCTTTTTCTAATTTGAATTGCTGTGGCATCTTGCTTTATTTATGTGTCTTCCAGAACTGTGGAAAATCTCTCTCTTCATGTGACTGGCTGTCCGTCTTTCTGGGTTACATCAAAACACTCTCCAGCCAGTTCAGTGCATGAAGCTGAGGGTGGCAGCTGGAATCAGTAAACACAGCATGGTGGGCAACACATCCAGTCCTGCAGCATCGGTGGCCCCCGCAGTGTTGGTATTGGTGTTGTTTGTCGGTTGCGAGGCTGGTTTTTGCTCACCATCTTTTGCTGAGCCTTTGTCCTACACAAAATCAGAATAAACAGGCAGATCATTATAATGTCCACTATTGTGAAAAATGTGCAGTTGTATACCCTAACGGACATCTGGCTTTTATAAAGTAATTAAAAAATTTTTTTCATTTGTTCTTTTGTTTTGTTTTAGGTAACCCGCCTTTTTCATATGCAATGTGAAATCAGCTTAAAGTTATTTAAAGTTGAATTAAAGTTATTTTGATAGAAGGTGCCTTAAAATGCACTTTATTGTTATTACATTTGTAATTCTTTATGATGCTTCATCAGTCATTCACCCAAATATGTCCTCACCATTTACTCACACTAAAACCATTATGATTTTTTATCTGTTGAGCCCAAAACTAAATGTTCTGAAGAATGTTGGAAACCTGCAGCCATTGATATCCATAGTCGGAAAAATATTATTAAAAGGAAGATAATGGCTGTTTTTCTCAACATTCTTCAGTATATCTTCTTTTGTGTTCAACTGAAAAAAAGAAATTGATTTGGAACAAGTGGAGGATGAGTGATTAATGGCCGAATTTTCAGTTTTGGTGAACTAGCCAAGAGTCCATTTTAACAAATGACCCAAACTTCTAATTACTTGGTTTAAAAGAACTGGAGGCAATAATTTGTTTTGCATTCATATTCAGGTAATAAGGAAAATATCAAAGTTTCTTAAATACGAATAAAAAAAAAAAATCAAAGATTAATGAGTTTGAAAATAACACTGCCTACCTCTGAGGTTGAAAAGGGTAAGGTTAAAAGCAGCATCCCGAGGCACAATGTCAAAATTTGATTCATTTTCATGGTGGTCTCTTGTCAAGATGTTTTCAGTGGGGCAGAAAATGTGTAGTCGATGATGGGTGACGGGCGGGAGTTTTATTCTAACTGACTGATGTGTGACGTGTTAAACACCAGCCCACTGCTTTAGGAAGTGCATCATTCTCTCCGTCTAGGGCAGATCTCAAAATAAAGCTTGTCAAATACACTATGCTACTCTTTCCCACTCCAAAAAACTCAGTTACTCTTTTAAAAATGTATTGGCATCAGTGCTTCTTTGAAGAACCTTTAACTTAAGTGGAGTCTTTCCATTTCAAGAAGGGTTCTTTAGGTTATTAAATTCTTCTTCACACAATGAATAAACAGAAAGAACTCTTCACTGAAAGGTTCTTTGGACTCGAAAGCTGGTTCTTCTCTGTAACATCCTTTTACAAGCTTAATTTTTAGGTATTTGAGAACAAATTTAAGGGATAGTTTACCGTAAAAAAAATTTACTCACCCTTAAGTGGTTCCAAACCTTTATGACTTTCTTTCTTTTTTCTGTTCACAATAGAAGTTGGTGGTTCATTCCGTTATATGGTAACCTTTAAAATAGAGTCTAACCCTAAGACGAATGAATGACAAAAGTAAATATTTTGAAGAAAACCTGTAACCATTGACATTAATAGTAGGCAAATCAAATAGTCAGTGGTTACAGGTTTTCAGCATTATTCAAACTATCTTCTTTTGCGTTTAACAGAAGAGAGGAACTCTAACGGGTTTGGAATAAGTAAAAGGAGAGTAAACAATTACAGAATTGGTCGAACGATCATTAAACACATAAAGAAGATGACATACAAGCTGGCATTTAGCAGTTTAATCATGCATACAGACACACTTGCCAGTCAATTACATTAATACACATAATGCCATTAGAGAAATAGAATCTTTCAAACGCATGATTTAAGTAGTGGAGTTGTTTACCCTGCTAAACTTTATTCACATGAAGCAAATAGAAGAAAGGGGCTCTTCCAAGAGAAGTTGCCACTGAGCGTAACCAGACAATCCTTCTTGGAGGAGTTCTTATTTTCATTAGTTAAAAATCCTTTGAGCTGTGCTGTGCTGTGTTCTGTCTTGCAGATTTGTGCTCTGTCTGTCAATGACTATCTATTCTGCCACTCCCACATTGATGCTCGCCTTTGGTGAATGTTCAGGATCTGCTGTGGATGAAGCCCAGGGTGGCAGCCGGGAACAGAAGGTACAGTGTTTTGGGCACAGGACTCAGTCCTACAGCACTGGAGTTAGTAGATGCGCTGGGCGATGGGACAGTGTTTTCACTTGACTTCTGACTCTCCTACATCAGACATGAAGCAGTCACTTTACAGCATCACAGATAAAATAAAAAATAAAAACATTCTGGAGCTGTTTGTAGATCTACACATTCTAGTTAAAATATGTAAAATATGAACACAGTTTGCAAATGAGTGAAACAAATGATTCCTTTTACTTCTAAAACTCAATGAGATAACAATGAAAAGCAGTGCCTACCTCAGTTGAAAATGGTTTGCTCATGATGAGCACCACGAAACACAAAATCCATAATTTATTCATGGTTAATGCTGTGTTGTGTTCTTCCAGTAAGGTTCAGTTCTGGACCGAGGGTGAGTGTGGAGTTATACACAGACTGGACATTTCAGTTATAAACACCCTCCTATCTGTGAGTTTGAGAATTGCAGATAAGAGATGACCAATGGAGGAGGGGATTTAGGAAAAATGGGCGGGGGAAAGGGTGTGTATTTTTTAGGTTCTGACTATTTTTGCAGCTTCTGGCCCATGAACATCTCCTAGCACAAAGTAATGTGACTTGTTTTCACATTTTTTACTGAACTGTACTACACATATGCCCCATGGTGTTACAGCAAGAGGTTATAATGATGTACAAATAGCATGAGAGTGATTAATCTTCACTGCTGGATGCATATGGTTATACAATGCTAGTTATTTTTTATGAAAATATGAATAACTTTATTTTTTATTTCATCACAAGCCAGACTTGTTGGATATCTTCAGTAAATACAAGACAAACTTTGCTGTCATTTTTTCAAAACTACAGAAAATCATATAATTTTAAGATGAGTGCTGATTATATATCCATTACTGCAATACTCAATTTTTCTTTTAAGATGTTGTGAGATAAAAACAAATATGTGTTTTCATCATGTGTCCCACCATAGGACACCGTCACACTAAATGACAGAAATTGTGTAGTACATGACCAGAGACAACAAAAACACGTCTAATGAGAGTTTTTTTTTTTATTGATGTATGGTTTGTTAGTATAAAATTCGAGTTAAAGGGCAACTATTTTCCCTTGTAAAGATTAGAGATAAAGTCTTTTGTGTCTCCAGATTGTGTCTGTAGAATTTCAGCTCAAAGCACCCATCAGATTAATTATTATACCTTTAGAATATTAGATTTTTCTGCTCTGGACACAATGTAGCTGTTTTTATTGCCTGTGCCTTTAATACTAGTTCTCCCTGCCCACCGTTCCCACATACCTATCAGAGTGTACCTCAATCTCCGCCTCTGCTGCTTCAGATAAACAGCACAGTGACAGATATGAAGGAAGCAGATCTCACAAAACGTTTCTGAGAAAAGTTGAAAAGTTTGAGAAATTCCCAACTTCTGTGAGCAATGCCACTAAAGTGATGCTGATGAATCCACAATGCAGTGATCCATGTGAATGGCCCCTTACATCTTTATTCTGGGATTACCACTATTAATACATTTGTATAAAGTAAATCGTATCTCAAAGCTTCCACTGTTTTTTTTTTTTTTTTTTTGCACCGTCTCCCGGTGCCGCCCCCCAGCAAGATGCCACCCTGGGCGATCGCCCAAATTGCCCATGCCTATCCGCCACTGATTTTACTGACAAGCGGTTGTGGTGATAAAGTAAAGACAGTAAAATCACTCTAATTCATTACAAACATGCACCATTTTTAAACTTGTAAAACTCATTCTTGATTTGATGATCACAGCAAGCTAAATCTTTTAATCCTGGTTGCTTTGTGCTTGTCCTGTCTTGTTGATATGTTTATTTTAACATCAGGAAATAAAAAAAGAGATTTATTGTCTTTATTTCACCCCAATGTGACAGTGGACACACTTTACCCACACACAGTTCTATCCAAACAGCTTACAAAATATGATTTTCATCATAGGTGCCCTTTAAAATGTTTTCCTGCTCAAACCCTTCGGACCTTTTAGCGACCCTACAGCGCCCTCTTGCGTTTTAAACCCGCACTGACATGCACAACGCGTTTTCGTTTATGTGCAAGTTTGTCTCTATGCAGCTTCCGTCGTTGTCCGTCGCTTCTATCGTTCCGGTAGAGAGCGAGTGCCGCCCATGCGGAGGAGGAGGAGGTCACATCCCACAACAATCTCTCATCCCGGTGTGAAACTCGCCTGTCAGAGTTCCTCATGCTGCTGGTTCGGCGTTCGGCAGCAGGTTTCGGCGGCGTGGTGCGATGGGGACTGCGCTGTCTGTGCTCCGGGGACGCGGCGGGCCGGTACCGAAACACCGTTCTGCTGCCCCGCACTGACTTCCCTATAAAAGTGAATGGGCCAAGCCTTCTAGAGCAAGAGATAAAGATCCAGCAGGTGAGTGACTGAGCTTGTCATTTACTGATTGAGGTAAATTTGGATTTATGTTCGTACATTAGTTCATTTTTGAGCAGTGACAACTTGTGACAGGGTCCCTATATTGTTTACTATGCTACTTTGAATATTCGGTCTGAAATGGCACGTAAGACTTCAAAACAACATCAGCACTATTACATTGACAGTGAACAATGCTGTAAGTTACTTTGATAGTCATTGGCTGCTAGTATGATGTGCCTATTTAGAATTAACAAAGAAAACATTACTCAAGTGGTATTATTTTTTTCAAAATAATTTTATTGCAAAGTACAGTAATAAAAAGACTAAAGCAATTATAGATAAGTATAGATAATATCAACCTAATAACCTTGTGCATACAATACAATAAAATAAAAAAAAAACATACCAACAAATAAAACTAAATAATAATGTGGCTTAACAAAAACTACAATTGTGCAGTCTGTATCACACAAAACATTCTACTTTGCACTTGGAAAATAAAAAAAATCAGTTTGCTGGAGCAATTACTTGAGCAATGTTTGACTATAAAACATGTTCTTGCATATATTTTCTAAATGGGTCTCACATTTTCTTAAACTGGTTAGATTTTTTCAGCTTTAGAAAGAAGAGAACATCACGAATCCACTGTGTTGGGTTTGTAGGTTCCTGATAAGTTTCCATTTAAAAAATATTAGCTGTTTGACCAGGAGCACAATAAAAGCTATGCAATCAGATTGTATTTTTTAAGATTATACGAGATGGAAAAAATCACAACAATGGCAATCAGTGAGCAAAGGGAGATACATATACCCAAAAAACTGAAGTGATATTTTTAAGGAGAAGGTTAGAATGTGTGAATATAAAACCAAACGTTTACTGATGCTGCTAAAGAACATAACAGCAACAATAAGGTGATGTCTGCTGTTGTAACTCTTTAAAGCCACACACTTTGAGACTTGACTGACTTGTCTTGTGTTGGAGTTTGAGTTTTCTTGTGTTTTTCTGTAGAAATGTGGTTTTGACCAGCTGTACAAATGGCAGAGAGAGAAAAAGGCTAAGAAGGAGTACTGTCTTCATGATGGACCACCGTATGCCAATGGGGACCCTCATGTTGGGCATGCACTCAATAAGGTACCTCCTGTCACTTCGTCATCACACACATATGTAGATGTTCCTGGATCTACATCATCTAATTTTCTTCTCATACATTTTTGTCATTGTTATTTCAGTTAGCCTAAATGTAAACACAGAGATATGGGATTTTTCAAAAATATGCCATCAGCATCTACTGTTAATCTTTCCTGTAGATTCTCAAAGACATACGAAACCGTTTCGAGGTGCTGAGAGGCAGGCAGGTGCACTATGTGCCCGGCTGGGACTGTCATGGTCTGCCCATTGAACTCAAAGCGCTGGGAGACCTGGGAACCAATGAGCTGACTCCTGTCCAGATCAGACAGAAAGGTCAGGAGGTTGTGTATAAGCCATGTCCATCCAGAGCCTCATCCTTCTTTTTCATCCCTTCAATTTATGCTGAAAAGTTATTTAGTTATTTTCATATATATCTCATGATGAAAGTTATTTTCACTGTTATTTAATAGTAAATTAAATAACATGATGTTACATTTTATTTTTTAATTTAAATTTTTAAAAATAGTACTGTTTGTGTATATTTACTTATGTTAAGTAGGCCTATTTCTTTATTGATTGTAAGAGATTTCGTATGTAGCTTTAATCTTTATTGTTTATTAGTTTTAATTTTGTTAGTAATTTGTTTTATATTTTGCTTAATTATTTTACAGTTATTATTTAATCCAGTGTTTATTTTGTTTTGTTTATGTATTGTATAAGGAGTATTTATTTATTAGTTTAACTAAAAATTGGTGCTGTGCAAAAATTAATCTTGATTAATCGCATCAAAAATAAAAGTTTGTTTTGACATAATGTGAGTGTATTGATGAGAAAATGTTTATTTATGTTTAGATGTAAAATGTGTGTATTTTATAAAAATATCACTAACAAAATAGTTTTGTACAGTTTTATCATATGCATGTATGTATGTGTGTGTATCACATATACATAATAAATATATATAATATACACGCGTATATTATGTCAAAATACATTTTTGATTTTGGATGTGGTTAATCTTAACCTTGCCTGGCACTACTGTAAATTTATGAATTTTTACTAAAGTTTTTTTTGTCTTCAAATATTTCCGTTCCTCTGGCATTCGCTTACAATAAAAAAGAATCAGTTTAGCCTATGGGGGGTTGTTCTCAGCTTGCAACTTTTTTTGAAAGTGATCCTTGTCTAAAAACAAAAGAGGATTCACAGCTTGTAAAAAATTATGTTCTTTACAACAGCATCTGAAAAAGTTTATCTTTGAACCACTGTTTTGTTGCATTGTTAGATACTATTGACCTTTACTCCAAAATGATACTTGTTTTTAAAAGTGTAATCTGGCATTTTTGTTAACAAAAAGCTTAATCATACAAGTTTATTTAAAGTATGTGCTCCATATCTGATCTGACCAGTGATGAACTGTCTGTGTCTTTCTCCGTTCAGCTCGTGAGTTTGCAGAGAAGGCCATATCTCGACAGCGGGCTGCTTTCCAGCGCTGGGGTGTGATGGCTGACTGGGACAACTGTTATTACACTTTTGATGGGAAATATGAAGCAGCCCAGCTCAAGGTCTTCCAGGAGATGCACAACAAGGTATTCATAAATGTTTCCTGTGCAACACAGCTTAGTATTAAAGGACTAAAGGAATTGTTCACAAAAGGATGAAAGTAAAAAAACGTTTTACATTTAGAAGCATGATACATTCCAGAATTCTTTGATAAAGAGAAACTTGATTTGAACGTTTTTTTCTTTAAAATGTAAATCTTTTTGTAACATTAAAGTCTCATCTATCAGTAAAAGTCATTTCAATTTAAATAAAGTAATAATTTAAAAACATTTAATAAGTTTAATAATAAAGTAATTCAATTAAATGTTAAAAAATATTTTA